TTCTGTGTTCTAATCTATGAAGGGACGTAAACTCCGACCCCTTATGGTGGCTCTCTATCACTTGAGTAAGAATTTTTAGACTCTTTTGAGCTATTTTTACTGTGTTTCTATGATTACTCTGGAATGTGTAGAATTGCTGTTTCTCAGTGAATCATAGTTTCTTTCAATTCTTCTTATCTTCCTCTGTTTCTAGTCTATAACATATAATTCATAAACGTTTGATGTCAACAAAAGTATGAAATGCTTGTGTGTTTGTTTCTGCCCCAAATTAGAATTTATTTTTCACAATTCTTGTTCTGTCCCTCCTTCTCTTAGGAGGACTGTACATCCTCGGCCATTGCTTTGAGTCTTGACTGTGCCTCAAGTGGGAGGAGTCATGACCTCACTGCTTGGCTTTGAACTTGAACATGTGACAAGCTTTGGTGGATAGAATGTGGGCAGACTTGACAAGCTCAATGCCTAAGAAGAAGCTGTAAGAGGCTTTGTGAGATTCTACCCTTTCTCTTACTTTTCCCCTCTCTTATGAGCATGGGTACCTCTCACATAGGAGCTGTTCCATTGGCGTGGCTCCCAGATGAAGACGTGCACGTGGTCTAGCACAGTTGGGACAGAGCCATAGACATCTTGCAGCATGTGTCTAATGTGATCATAAATAACTTTCATTATTTTAAGACACTGTGACTTGGGGAGTTACTTGTTACCACAGCAAAGCTGACTACTACATCCCTTTACATGATATTTAATAAAAGTTAATATTTATCTTCCAGCTAAATGGACACTGCAGGATACTGATTTGTTCAAGTATGTATTCCCAGGAGATATACATGTGGGATAAAATCTCTAAAATAGAAATTAAAGCCTGAGGCTTTAAAAATATTTTAAAATATAAATATTGGTACTCTCACCTATGTTCCACTGATTTGATTACTAATTTATAGAATTATAATAAAAGAATTATGTGCATATCTTGTTCTCTGAACTCAAATTGTTCCTGAGTTGCTTTCCAAAATTCAGAAATCAAATCAATTTGGATCCTGAGAAGTTACTTGTACTATACCTTCTATTAGACATTAAAGAAATCCTCATTCACATTTTCTTTTTCTCTCCCCCAAAAAGGTTAGAGAGAGTTGTAAATTTCAGGTTCTCAGCCTGGAATGTAAAAATCTGGAATGTACTTCCATTCCACCAGCACAGGAAAAGATGAGTATTCTAAAAAATGATATATTTTCTCAAATCCATTGGAGAGCTGAGGTCACAGATCAACCTATTATTCTGAAATCTAAGGAGAGTCAGTAGATTCCAGTAAGAGACAAGGCTGTGGGGCAGAGCTTGCCTGGGGGAAGATCAGGGGAAGAAGGTATTGCTGACATTTATCAGGCAAAGTTTTGGGTAAAAATCTTAAAGAATATCTAAAAGTCAAGTGTGAATTGGCTACTATGAGAACAGAGAACTGATATTGCTAGGTTTACTATTATTTCTCTATAACTCTCAGATAACCATGCAGGTGAATAGAGAGGGTTGCACTGACCACTCAAATCCCTCAGGTAAAGAGACCCAGGATCTGGCAGTTGGAAATTGGACTGGAAACAGTCAGAAATGATAGGAATCAAGGTGATATGGATGGGACACAAGCAGTATTTAATATAGTTGCCTAAGTTGTCAATGCAGTTTTTATTCATATGAGTAATATAGCTCATGACTCTTCTTTCAATAAACAAAGGGAAAACAATTGGGGTAATATATGTCACTTGAAAATAAATTATTCTTGAGAAAGGCATGTAGTCCTATGGAAAAAAAGGGAATTATCCAAATTTATCTTAAATGATCTTTGGAAAAACTTTGTGAAAATAGGGGGGAAAAATAAGATAACTGTCTATATATGACAGGAGAAAAGCCTAATGAAGTGAGTTACCTAAACTGCATAGAGAAGTTGCCAAGTAGAGTTTATTCCATATGAGTAATACAACTTATGACTAATTTTTTAGCAAGATAAAAGAAAAACTTGGAATGATATATGTCATTTGAGATGATACTATTCTTAAGAAATCCACAGAGACCCAAGAAATAAAAGAGAATTTGCAAATATTTCTCATATAAGTTTGGGAGGAAATGTGTGAAAGCAAGAAAATGGCACAAATGGAAAAAAATGTCTATATTAGAGCAGAAATCTTAGTAAATCGTGTAGAGAGAAGTTGAAGTCAAAGAAATAGAAATTTCAGTAAATCATCATAGAAAGAGCAAATTTTACACCCACAATATATTCAAAGAATAACTTGTCTCCATTTATTTGAGCCCTGCAATCATGAGCACAACTTTGCCCCAGAAGAGTTGGCCCTTTTAAAGCCCAATGAATCTTTTCAGAGCCCCCTTTATGTCTTTATTCCGTAGACTGTAGATGAAGGGATTCAGCATGGGTGTGACCACATTGTACATCACTGAGGCTGTTACACCTGAATACGAGCTGTGAGAATCAGCAGGGCTAAGGTACACTCCTAGGGCTGTACAATAAAATAAGGCAACCGCGGAGAGGTGAGACACACAGGTGGAAAACGCTTTATACTTCCCCTGAGCTGATGAGATTCTTCGTATGGAGGAAACTATCTTAGAGTAAGAGTAAAGTATTCCAGCAAATGGACCACCACCCAGCAGCCCAGATACAACATACACAGTCACATAATTAAGGAAATTGTCAGAACAGGAACCCCGGACCACCTGATTGAGTTCACAGGAAAAGTGGGGGATCTCCAGGACTCTACAGGACAGCCGCAACATCATTAAGGTATGTACCAAAGAATTCAGGGCACTCATCGTCCAGGACATCAGAACCAGCAGCCCACAGAGCCTGGGGTTCATGAGGACTGTGTAGTGCAGGGGGCGGCAGATGGCCACAAAGCGGTCAAAGGCCATTACTGTCAGAAGGAAGTCATCCAGTCCTGCAAAGAGTACTAAAAAGTATATCTGGCTGATGCAGCCTTCATATGTTATAAACTTGCTCTGGGTCTGGATGTTCCACAGCATCTTTGGGATGGTGGTGGACGTGAAACAGATGTCTACAAAGGACAGGTTGGAGAGGAAGAAGTACATGGGGGTGTGGAGGTGGGAGTCAGAGCTGATGGCCAGGAAGATGAGCAGGTTTCCAAACACAGTGATCAGGTACATGGAGAGGAAAAGCCCAAATATGAGGGGCTGCAATGCTGGCTCCTCTGAAAATCCCAGAAGAAGAAATAGTGAAATCCCTGTACCATTGCTTGGTACCATGTGGTGGTGATCACTA